ATTCTGGGGAGAAGACAGCTGGGGGAGCCTGAGTTTGGAAGCTCAGCTCACCACCTCATCCAGCCTTCTTGTTTATTTATTTATTTATTTATTTTAATTGGAGGCTAATTACAGTCATCCAGCCTTCTCCCAGCTTTACACCACTCAGCTGCTCATCCCGTCCTCCCCGCAGGACCTTCTCTGCCTCCTACCGCTCTCCCAGTGTGGCTGCATCCCTGCCCAGAGCCCCTTTCTGGCCATTTGTCCTTTTGTCCGTGTGGCCTTGTGACAGGGGCGGGGCTGAGAGAAACATTGGTTTCTTGCCTTTGATCTGGGAGCTTGTGTTCTGGGGACTCTGTCTGCAGTGAAATGCTGCCAGGCCCACACTGCTCTTTGGCCAGCAGCAGGCTCTGGCCCCAGAGGCCTCTTGAGACAGGAGGCCGAAAAAGATGGCCAGGTGGGCTCTGGAGACTCAACTTTTCCTCTTGCTTCTCTGCATCTGATCTCTGATTAAACCTGTGTGTGTGTGTGAGTGTGTGTGTGTTGGGGGAGGGTATCTTTAAGAATACAACAGGAGAGATATGGTTAGAGGCAGGATGACTCGCTCATCTTCAGGGAAACATCAGATTTGGTGGATGTTTACTGGGGAGAGGCTCAGTCAGCCTTGTCATACACGCTTCTTCGGTCAGATTTCACATTATTAGGGGTGACATTTGAATTAAGTTACCTTGCAGCGTGGTGGCCTTGACCTGTCACAAATCATAAACCTGTGAAGCTAGGTTCCTTTTCCTTTCTCCTCTTCTTTCCTTCCCTCCCTCTCTTCTCTCTCTCTCTATCCAGTGCTGTTGCCTACCACCAGATCTTCATTATTACTTAGTAGATATCACATCTGTTATTCAAAGGGAGCAAACATAGCTTGCTTGGTGGTACAGATGAATCAGGGACTTGCGACCAAAGGGAGTGGGTAGGTGGGATAGGATGAGATACTAAACCCTTGCTCGGGGACAGTTACATACTTTCTACCACTGTTGCCGCTGGTCCTTTCAGCCCCTCTCCAGCTTCCATCCCCAGTGCCGGGGTCTAAGGGTGTTTTACTTCTGCGCTTGAGATGAGCTGAAGTTTGGAAAGGAATTGTTACTGCTTGGAGTGCCAACAGTGCCTGCAGTGTAGGGCCAGGTCAGAACTTGGAAGGTGTTCTTTTACGTCACTGTAAGGTCTGCTGGTTGGCCTGTGCCCACCATCCTAAAGCACAGCGCATCATTCATGGGTATAGAAGTGATTATGGTCACTGTGTGTACTCAGCCCCTTAGTCGTGTCCGACTCTCGCAACCCCGTGGACTGTAGCCCACCAGGCTCCTCTGTCCATGGGATTTTCCAGGCAAGAATACTGGAGTGGGTTGCCATTTCCTTCTCCAGGGAATCTTCCTGACCCAGGGATCCAGCCCACATCTCTTGTGTCTCCTGCATTGGCAAGCCAATTCTTTACCACTAACGCCACCTGGGAAGCATTGTATAATGGGGTATAATTTATAGTATTGCCTATATTGTCTTAGTTTTCCCAGATATGCCTGCCCACTAGTTTTTACAGATGTCGCACACATGGACACATACACAATTACAAATTCATGAACCTCCTTTTACAAAATGAGGAAACCCTTGGTAAGGTACTGAGGTCACTTGATACTTGAAGCAATAAGCCTAATTGACCTTTAAATCATGAGAGTGAATTATTAAACTTTTATAATTTTTAAGCATGTTTACTTCCCCCGGTCATATTTATTTTTGAATTTGCATTTTGGTGCTAGGTTCTATCACAAATGTCCCACTAAGAAGAATGACAACTAATCTGCTGACTTAATTTGAATGACTTTTCTTCCTTTATCATTTTTGTAGTGAAGGAAGTATTGACTTAAATTAAGTGTTTTTAAAGAAGTGTTTTTAAAGAAAAGGTGAATACTTACAGTATTTAGAATGTCTAGATTCCTGCATTTTATCTTTATATTTAGTTTGAATCTTGCAAATAAAAATTGGAACATAACCAAGCATGAATTGAGCATTTCTGCCCAGGAGCTTTTTATCTAGCTGCTTTAAGGAACTTGATATTGAAGCACAGTGATAAACCAAGAAGTCAGCAGTTCAGACTTCTGATTCACTGAAACAGTTTTCATCAGTTGAGAAGCAACAATCGATATATTTTTCTACTATGGAAAAAGACCTGAGGCCTTCAATCAGAATTTATTCACTTAATTTTGCATATGATTATATATAGACCTTAATTATCTAATTTATCAGATTATAAGCTGTTTAGAAACTGTCACTTAGGAAATTGAGGGCAACTAAAGTCAGACACAACAATTCTAGCTTGATAGAAAGACAGGAAGCAGAAAAATGACTGTTCTCTGTAGTAAAATGCATCATGTTGTGATTATAAAGACAAATTCAGATTATGGTTTATATATTCTGCCTCAGAAGGCATAGAAGCACATACTATATTCTATGAGGGCCTTTAAAAATTCAATATTGTCTAAATAAAATCAGTTTTACAGTGTAAGGCACTTTTCTTCATATATTATCATCTGTAGTACATTGCACTTGAATTATTACACACAAATGATATCCATGTGCGTGCATGTGTGCTAAAGTCACTTCAGTCATGTTCAACTCTTTGCAACCCTATGGACTGTAGCCCACCAGGCTCCTCTGTCCATGGGGTTCTGCAGGCAAGAATACTGGAGTGGGTTGCCCTGCCCTCCTCCAGGGGATCTTCCCACCCAGGGACTGAACCTGACATATCAGTGTGACTGCATGTTATCCTAGGAAACTGAGGGAGAACAGTCTTAACCTCCTGGCTCTCAAACTTTTCCAGGCAAGATCCCGTATTCAAAAAAGATTCTGACTTGAAATCCAGACGGAAAGCAAGGCAAGGAAGAGGTATTCTGGCTTCGATGAGTGTATGTTTGTCCCTTCCCACCATCCCCAGTGGCTGTCGGAGCCTCATGGAGCCCTTACGCAACCTCATGCAGACCCCAGCACACAGCACACGGCCAGGCACAAAGCTCAACCAGGGCAGGGCTTAGCTGGAGAGAGTGGTGGCCTTGAATCAGCCTGTAAGTGGTGTCACTTTGCTTGCCTGCTGTGAAATCTCCTAGGGTGTTGGTGGATAACGAGTAGAATGAGATCGACTTTCAAGCATCACTATAACTCTCGAGCAACAGGACTCTAGAGCCCCATGCATTTGCTGCAGGTTACGCTAAAGCGGTGGTCCCCACCAGGAGTTCCAGCCAACAGGAGCGCATCAAGAGTTTGCTAATGGGCACTCAGCTAATGAAAAACTACAAACCTAGAATTTTACTATTGTTGCCTTGAATGATGTTGCCACTGCTGGTGCTGCCGCTTCTACTTGTCATTCTTCTTGTTCTCTCTCCCCTTCTCCCACCCCTTCCTTTTTCTTCCCACCCATCATCCCCTCTTTCTTTTCAGTAGTAAAGCCAAGACACTTTTCAGTAGTGTACTGGATGCTTGGATTTCCCTTTATCCTGTCTTTTTGAAAAATCAATTGATTGCCAAACTTGCTTAAAGTTCCAGACCATGTCCTTTCCTCAGGCAGAGGAAAACCAAGAATGATGAAAGCATTTGCAAGCACGGTACCTAAACCTTAGGCAGTGGGTATCAGGGTGACACGTGTCGTTGCCTCAGTACTGACTGCAATGTTCTTGGTGCTTGACTGGTGTCTGATGGCACTGTGCAGACCCGTGTTTGAATGGGTAGAGCCGTCTAGGAGGCAGGAGGCTATAGTTTCTTTGCCGATTCTGTCCCTCCCAAGGTGCTGGTTTGCATTTCTTCCAGGCTCCTTTTGTAGCAGCATCACCTCAATTTTTAGCTCAAAAATCAAATCCCAGTAGGAGAAGCCAGTCCTTAGAATGTACCCTTTGGTAGTGCCTTTCTTGAGGACGAGGACTCGGGGCCTTCACACATGGATGCTTTGATGGGCTATTTCACAGATTGGCTTTGTTATAGTAAGTTTCTTTCAGCACTCAAACAGCCAAATTATTCATGCAATTCTGCCTTTTAGCTTGTCCTTGGTAGAGAGACCTGAGCATTGGTAGCTTACACTTTCCATGGCACTAGGAGCAATGAATCAAGATTTCCATACCTTCCTCTCTCTCTCTAGTGCTTGTTTTTTAGTGAGAGAAAAGATCGGCCTCAGAGAGTATTTTTATTGTGACTTTTTAACTCATCCTGAGTGTCAGAGAGGCCAAACTGTGTAATGCTTTTAAGCAGGAGTCTGATTTCAGACTGCCTGGTCCAGCTGTGCTCTAAGTGTATAACTTCCTGTGCCTCAGCTTTCTTATCTCTATAATGGAAGTAAGAATAGTATCTGTTTCTCAGGGTGGTGAGGATTAAATGTTCCTGTTTGTGAAGTGCTTACTAGAATACCTGGCACATGGCAGGTCATATATTCATGTGAGCTGCTGTTACTGTTACTGTTGCTGCTGCTATGATGATGATAATGATTAGTAAAAGGTAGACTTTTTACTTTCCAGATGATTTGGGCAGAAACTCAGGTAGGTTTGTTTAGGTTTGTGCTGGGAATAAAAGCCCAAGGTGATGGCCCCTTGAAACGTAGACTCTTTGTAGGGAAAGAGTGCTTGTTTTGAATCTGGGATGTTGGTCCTACCCCTTAGAGTAAACATGGAAAAAAAAAAATTGGAAGATAGCGCCTACCATGTTAGGTTATGAAATTTAAGAAAAAAAAAACCACACAGAATAAAGAGCCTGGCTCATAGTATATACTCAACATATAACATCTAGTATATGATTATATTGTAAAAAGAACATCTCAGCCACCTGAAGTCGTGACTATGGAGCTGCTTAGTAGATCAAAGGGCTATTGAATGTTTATGATAAAGTTTTAAATTGGTTTATGTTTGCTTCATTTACATGTGTTCTCTTTACTACCAGGGAACCCTTCAGAACAGACTGTTAACGTTTCTTCTTGTCTTCTGAATTGTCTGTTGTAGAAATCCGCTCTCAGGAGGAAGTGTGCGGTCTGTAAGATTGTCGTCCATACCGCCTGCATTGAACAGCTAGAAAAGGTGAGACCGCGCCACCTGCTGCAGTCTTTGCGGTCCTGCAAGTGTCTGGACTTCAAAGACAAAGCGTCGGTTCTCATTTTCGACTTCTTGACAACCACGCTCTTTTAAAAACCTAGAAGTCCAACGTTATTACCAGATTAATAATGGAAGGACTATGCTTACTGTTCCCATCCACTCTGTTGTTTACTGAGCTTTAATTTGATATCATTTTATGTTGACTCTTGGGTAAAGGAATAAAAACGTTAGAGAGAGAAGCCTGGTATGGGCCTATTTCTTCACAATAATAGCAAGTGGTGAATACCCATGGGATTTGTTGGTTTTTTAAGGTAACTCATTCTAGTTGGGTGCTTTCCCTAATATAATACACTTTTCTTTTTAAATGACAGATTAATTTCAGATGTAAACCAACTTTTCGAGAAGGAGGTTCAAGATCACCAAGAGAAGTAAGTATTGCAGAGCTCTAGTGCAAACACCACCTTTTATTTCCCTTTGATTCATTGGATTCATAGTCACCAGGGATTAAAAGAAAACCTGTCTCCCTCCATTTCACATTAGTGTCTTATCAGTATCTCAACAAATACAATCAGTAAACCCCCCAAGTCTCTTCAGTGTGTGTCTGCTTCCCTTTCTTCTTCTCATAGAATGCCCTGGAGAGCTAAGGTTTTATTGAATGAACCAGAAAGTGGGGAGAGGGAATGGTGGTAGAATTGAAAAGGTAAGAAAGAAATAGTATTTTATTGGCTTTTGGTCTATTTTAATTCCACCCGGAAGAGGTGGCAACTAAACTGAGACCCAAAGGATTGATCTGAGTGACGGTTTGGGGGATAGTTAGGTCGGGGGTGAGTGAGCACCTTCTAGACAGAACACATGCACACAGCCTCAAAAGTGAGAGACATACGAGAGAGGCATAAGACCCACGAGATGAGCAGAAGCGAGACCACGGAGGCTCTTATAAGCAAGGATGCAAGTTGCATGTCTCATCATCATAGTAATTAGAGGGGGCATTGAACAATTTTAAGCAGAATATATTAATCTGGCTACAGTGTGGAGGGGATGGATGCCATGTATTTCAAGAGCAGCAATGTTACAGGCATGGAGGAAATTGGCCATTCTCTTAGTCTAGGCAAGTGATAATGGTGATCTGAACTAACAGTGTTACTGAGATGGAGGAAATTGGTAAATGTGAATTTTAAGGAAATAAGATGGTCAGGATATATTAGTTGATTGGATTTTGGACACAAGGAGAGGGATTGTTGTTTTCAGTCACTAAGTTGGGTCTGACTCTTTGTGATCCCCATGGACTGCAGCACACCAGGCTCCCCTATCCTTCTTCAACTCCCTGAGTTTGCTCAAACTCAGGTCCCTTGAGTCGGTGATGCTATCCAACCATCTCATCCTCTGTCGCCCCCTTGTCCTCGTGCACTCAGTCTTTCCCACCATCAGGGTCTTTCTGTGAGTCAGCTGCTCGCATCAGGGGGCCAAAGTATTGGAGCTTTAGCTTCAGCACCAGTCCTTCCAGTGAATATTCAAGATTGATTTCCGTTAGGATGGACTGGTTTGATCTCCTTGCTGTCCAGAGGACTCTGAAGAGTTTTCTCCAGCACCACAATTTGAAAGTATCAGTTCAGCATTCAGCCTTCTTTATGGTCCAGCTCTTACATCTCTGCATGACTACTGGAAAAACTACAGCTTTATGCCGAGCTCCCCTGTCCTTTGACTATAAGGACAAATATGTTAGCAAATGAATTGCCTTGAGGATATGATAGAGAAGTAATGAGTTCAGTTGTAGAACTCTCAAGTTTGAGTTGTCCTGAGGCTCCCAGTTGGTGATACCCAACAGAAAGCTGAGTGGTTATTAAAGTTTAGAGCTTATGAGGAAGATTGGGCTAGAGGTTAGACATTGGTGAATTGTCAGCATTTCGAGGTAGTAATTAAAGCTATGAGATTGATGACTGGGTAAGATAGGAATAGAAGGACATCTGAGTAGAGATTGGTGTTAATGGCAGTTAATGAGTGAAGACACAGTGAAGAAGAAGAATATTATTACTGATTAATACAAGCAGATTGGGAGAAAACATGGAGAGAGAATAGGCTGGCAGTGGAGGTTGTAGAGAGAGATAAAAATAGCTGTCCCCGTTAGCTGTCCGCTCCCACTGTGCTTGTCTATTATGTCAGCAAGAGGTTGGTTACGGGTCATACATAGGGTGAGAAAGTCTTAAGGAAAATGATAGGGTTGTGTTTACCCTAGATGTCATTGGAATACACTATAGCATTGGCCAAGGGATAACTCAGTGATAGCTCAAATGAAGGAGAAATTTTATTTAGGACAATAGAAGAAATCGTTCTGAGTTTTTAAATGGACTTTACAAATTTCTAACCAGGGTATCCATATGTCTACATTTGGCTCCCTGTCCTTTAATTTCTCTTTTTCCATTTAAATAGGTAGTTGTAATTGTTTCTAATTTCTAACACAGGGATTTGGGGGGATGTGTTTTCAGTAGCTGTGTTATTTCTCTTCTGTGAAGCCAGACCCTTCATAAGTGTTTTCAGTATCTTCCTTTGTCTTCATATCAAGGACTTGCTATTTCTTCCATGCCCACATTTCCAACCCCTCACCTTCCTTCTAGATTTTTTCCATCACCATAAACATGCTCTGAGAGCTCCCATCTTTAAAAAAAGAAAAAACCAAACAGGAATACTCCTTAACTACCAGCTGTGTCTTAATTGCAGCTCTGAATCTCACTGTTGTGTTCAGTGCTGAAGTTCCAGAAAGTGTTAGCCGTGGAAACTGTTTCTAGCATGTTTCCCTCCTAGGCATTTTAACCTGTTCCCATCTGGTTTTCCTCTACCCATTCACTGAAATTGCTTTTTAAAATCTTGCCAATATCTCCTTGATGACAGATTCATTAGATATTTTCTGTTCTTATTCAGTCTTTCAAATGTGTTCAAACTACTCAGTATTTCCTCCTTCTTGAAATGCTCTCCTGTCGTGACAGCTTTCTTAATGTTCCTCTTAAATATTTCACTGGGTAGTCCTTTCGTTGTTCACGCCCTGATTTCTGCGTATTTGTTGGGCTTGTTAGTACTGGACTACACTTTGCCTACTGTCGTTGAGAGAATGCCTCCAGTCCTTTGGCTTTCAATATCATGTCTGGGTTGACAACACTTGGAGTTCTATTTGGTATGCCCATTGAATGTGTCAGAGTCATCTCAAATATAATACGTTACTAACTAAATTCTATTGCCATCACTGTAAAAACTATATTTTTCCATTGTTTTGTATCTCAGAAAATGGGATGACTATTGGTCCAGCTCCCCAAATGAGAAAACAGGGGGTCATAATGATGCTTCTCTCAAGTACTCCCCACACTTAATCCATTTGCCAGCCCTATCAGTTTTATTTATGAAATATATTTCAAATCATGCGTTTATCTCCATTTCTGTTGTCAGTGCCCTAGACTGAGACACCATGATCCCTTGCTTTTGACCACTGCAGTAACTTCTCCAGGATTCTTTAATTTCCCTCATCAATCCACCATGATATAAGAGAGTGATCTTTTAAAGTGAACATTGGATTATATCATTTTCCAGCTTAAAACTCAGCTGTGGTTTCTATGTCATTTAGAGGAAAACCGCACCCCTTGGCTTGGCATGAAAAGCCAAAAGTCCTTCATAGGCTGGGCCAGCCACCCTCTTCTAACCCATCCATCTGCCACATGGATTTCAGTTCTTGAGGCACACATCAAGATATTCTTCACCTTCTGATATTTGTGTGTTTTGTCACTGCACTGGAGATCTCTATTCGTGACCAGCTGTTTCTTACGGTTAGAGCCCTTCAGAGGTCTTCGTTGGTGACCAGCTCTAAATAGGTCGCACATTGGTTCTTTATCAAAGCACCTTGTTCTGCCCTTCAGAGCACTTTCTGTGTCATAGTTATTTACAGGTATTAGTCATTTGCTTGTATGTTGTCATCCTCCTGTAGTGTAAGCTTTGGGGGATCACTCATGAAATTTGTTCCAAACTCATTGTACCGGGAAGGATGCAGAAGATGTGATCAGTGAATATCTTTTGACCAAATGAATTTATAGAGGAGTGAAAGTGTTAGTTGCTTAGTTGTGTCTGACTCTTTGCGACCCCATGTTCTCTTCATGGAATTCTCCAGGAAAGAACACTGGAGTGGGTTGCCATTCTCTTCTTTAGGGCATCTTCCTGACCTAGGGATTAAACCTGGGTCTCCTGCATCACAGGCAAATTTTTTACCAATGAGCCACTGGGGAAGCCCATGAAGGGGTTAATTTCCCCCCAAATCTCTAAGAACTCTTATTCTAAGGGTACAATTTGGGAATGGTTCTTATGTCACATGCTCTGTGCTGTGCTTAGTCGCTTAGTCCTGTCCGACTCTTTTCAACCCCATGGACTGTGGCCCATCAGGCTCCGCTGTCCGTGGGATTCTCCACGCAGGAATGCCTGAGTGGGTTGCCATGCCTGCCTCCAAGGCATCTTATCAACCCAGGGATGGAACCCAGGTCTCCCACATGGCAGGCAGATTCTTTACTGACTTAGCCACCAGGGATGCATGACCCATGGGGACTCTTAGTTAAGAGACCTTAGAGAGTTTACTTCATGTAAATGGAAGAAGCAGTCACTTTAGAATTAGTTTGACTTGTGTTCACGGGACATCTCTGCTTCTTTTTCCCTCAGTGGTTTCTCTAGGGCTGGGGCCTGGAGCGGGGTTGTTAATCACTGTCTCCCAGGCTTTGTGGGGTGCTTGATACCTGAAGATGTTTTTTAATGAATGTTGGTTTGACTCCTCTAAGTTGAAACATTCTAGATGGACTCAGTTTCCTTAGACATAAGCTGCTTGGATTGGTCTATAATTTCTAAGATACTTTAAAAAACTCTATGAGTAACGCTTTGCCAACAAAGGTCTGTCTAGTCAAAGCTATGGTTTTTCCCATAGTCATGTATGAAAGTGAGAGTTGGATTATAAAGAAAGCTGAGATCCAAAGAATGGATGCGTTTGAACTGTGGTGTTGGAGAAGACTCTTGAGAGTCCATTGGACTGCAAGGGGACCCAACCAGTCCATCCTAAAGGAAATCAGTCCTGAATGTTCATTGGAAGGAATGATGCTGAAGCTGAAACTCCAATACTTTGGCCACCTGATTCGAAGGGACTGACTCATTGGAAAAGACCCTGATGCTGGGAAAGGTTGAGGGAAGGAGGAGAAGGGGATGACAGAGGATGAGATGGTTAGATGGCATCGCCAACTCATTGGACATGAGTTTGAGTAAACTTCGGGAGTTGGTGATGGACAGGGAGGCCTGGCATGCTGCAATCTATGGGGTTGCAAAGAGTTGGACACAACTGAGTGACTGAACTGAACTGAATATTATGAATTGAACTGGCTGCTTTGGACAATAATTGAGCAATTGCATTAGCATTTTTGCTAACCATACAGAAGATAATCCCTGAAATAATGGATCACCAAGATTTTAACACCCATAAGTAATAGCCCTATTCTTACCCAGTACTTGACAGTGGTATATGAATAATTCAGATTTTTGATGAACAATGAAAAGATGTTATAGTATTAGAAGCCTTGCTCTGCTATCTTAACAGCATGTATCAACACTCACATTTACTATGTGAGGCTTCTGAGTCTAATTTCAGTTCAATAATTTAGGAGAAATGAATAATAGTCAAAAGGAAATAGTATGAAAAATTTAAGAGCTTGGGAAAGATGGATGATAAAACAGCAGTGATTCTCTAGAAGTGTTCTTTTTCCCCGAACTGATAAAAAACAATAGATGATCCTCCAAAATGGTAGCTATGTGATTTGTCAAGGAAATTAGGTTGAGAATTTCATTCATTTCAACACATTTATTGGCTTTCACTTTGTTCAAGCTATGTTTAAGCGGCAATAGAAAAAAAATTAGATCTAAGAAGACTTCTAAACAGATAGATACTTGACATCTCAAATCAGAGTCACAGAGACAATTACTCAGCTTCTACTGTGGTGATTTGTATGAGTTATTTTATCTGTGCCTCAATTGCCTACCTGTTTCCTAGGAAGGGTGATATTAAAAATATTCAACAACTTGCAGAGTCATAAGTATTTAAATAAGCAATTTAAAAATGTTCTCTTTTACTCCCTAAATAAACTAAACTACATGGTATTATAAATCTGTTTACCAAACAATATATGTTGCCACACAAATGATTCATTGTCAGTCTTACAGTTTCTCAATAATTGTTGATTTGTGGAAATTGCCAGTTTAATCTTTTGATTAGGGTTGTCACTCACTAAATAATCCCATGAGTCAACCATGATTTCTCATAGGTAATTGCATCAAATTCTTCCAGTGTTTCCCCCCTTCAATTCTTAAATGGAGAGTCATTAGGTGATTTATAATCTCAATAAGCAGAGTTTCTCTTAACATCAGTGTTATTGTTCATTATCCCCCAGCTTCTGCTAAACTAACAGCAATTATAGTAAATTTCTCTATCTCTCATAATACTGCCTGACATTTTTATGTATTCAATATTTCCACTACTGACTGTCATTGAAATCATTTATTGAAAGAGCTTGAACTTGATGTTTCAGAGCAGAGAAGAGGCCCTGCCACAGAGTCGTTGAGAATACAGGCTCTGTTGCCAGCCTGCCTGGGTTTGAATCCTTGCTTGGCCCTTGAATTTTGAAGTCACCACTCTATACCTAGTTTCATCATCTGTAAAATAAGGATGATGATGATAATTCAAGTCAAGCCTTTTGATAAGCTGTCCTACAATGATGTGAATTAGGATAGAATACAATTAGCAGTTGGCCCCCGTCCTCCCAGACAGCCGGCTAAAGTGCTTCTCATGTGGGTGGGCTGAAAAGCTGAAGTAGTCTGCCTCATCTATGAGGTGAAGGGTCTGGTACCTTCATCCCAGTAGAATTTCTGCACTGACCTGGAGGTATGGGCAGTGAGCAGGTTCCTGGACTTGCAGCCATAGGCCCCTGAATTGTTTATATTGATACCTGGACAGACAGCTGCCATCAGCGGGGCATAGCCCAGTTTTCTGACTTTGTGGGGGAACCCAATGGCATTATCCAGGCAACATGGTTTCTTTTCAGAAGAGAGCTCCAGAATCTTAGAGACCTGTTATGCCCAAAATTAGCATTCTAACTTCTTAATAATGAGGAGGTAGAAATGGTGTGTAGTGTTGAGGGCACGGGGGGTGCTGTGGTATCTATGGAAGAGCCAGAGGGACGGTAGAAGCATCGAACTGCAATTTATCAATCAATATAGACATTTTTCAATGTTTTTTACCAACTCAGGGTTTTACTAGTAGTTATCAACTAAATAGCACCTCTACTCATGAAAATTCTCATGAAAATTAAAATTATTATTATATGTAAGTCATTTTTTAGTTATTTAGTTTAATTGGAGGATAATTACAACGTTGTGATGGTTTTGCCATACATCAACATGAATCAGCCATGTGTCCCCCCGTCATGAATCCCCTTCCCACTTCTCTCCCCACCCCATCCCTCCGGGTTGTCCCAAAGCACTGGCTTTGAATGCCCTGCTTCATGCATCAAACTTGCACTGGTCATCTATTTTACATATGTTAGTATACATGTTTCAATGCTATTCTCTCAAATCATCCCACCTTCTCCCACCACTCACCTTCTCCCACAAGAGTCCAAAAGTCTGTTCTTTACACCTGTGTCTCTTTTGCTGTCTCGCATATAAGATTGTCATTGCCATCTCCCTAAATTCCATATATGTGTGTTAAAATACTGTATTGGTGTTTCTCTTTCTGGCTTACTTCACTCTGTGTAATAGACTCCAGTTTCATCCATCTCATAAGAACTGACTTAAATGTGTTCCTTTTTATAGCTGAGTAATATTCCATTGTGCATATGTACCACAACTTCCTTATCCTTTTGTCTGCTGACGGACATCTAGGTTGCTTCCATGTCCTAGCTATTGTAAACAGTGCTGCAATGAACATTGGGGTACATGTGTCTCTTTCAACTCTGGTCTCCTTGGTGTGTATGCCCAGTAGTGGCATTGCTGGGTCATATGGCAGTTCTGTTCCCAGTTTTTTAAGGTATCTCTACACTATTCTCCATGGTGGGAACAGTTTGCATTCCCACCAGCAGTATAAGAGGGTTCCCTTTTCTCCACACCCTCTCCAGCATTTATTGTTTGTAGACTTTTTGATGGCGGCTATTCTGACCACTGTAAGATGATACTCATTGTGATTTTGATTTGCATTTCTCTGATAATGAGTGACGTTCAGCATCTTTTAATGTGTTTATTAGCCATTGGTATGTCTTCTTTAGAGAAATGTCTGTTTAGTTCTTTGGCCCACTTTCTGATTGGGTTGTTTGTTTTTCTGGTGTTGAGCTGCGTGAGCTGCTTATGTATTTTGGAGATTAATTCTTTGTCTGTTGTTTCATTTGCTATTATTTTCTCCGATCCTAAAGACTGCCTTTTCACCTTGTTTATTATTTCCTTCATTATGCAAAAGCTTTTAAGTTTAATTAGGCCCCATTTGTTTATTTTGTTTTTGTTTCCATTACACTGAGAGGTGGGTCATGGAGGATCTTGCTGTGATTTATGTCAGAGAGTGTTCTGCCTACGTTTTCCTCTAAGAATTTTATGGTTTTCTGGTCTTACATTTAGATCTTTAATCCAGTTTGAGCTTATTTTTGTGTATGGTAATAGATGCGTAAGGCATTTTAAAAAGTGCATGACACAGAGATAGTACTCAAGAAATGTTAACTATTATTATTAGCTTCTTTCTGAGAACAGTGTAAGAATTGTGTCCTAATTTTATTAAACTACCACAGTAGAAAAAGCAAGACAAAAACTAGACTAATTAGTAGGACCATTATACTTCTTTATATCTTATTATAGTTAAAAGACCATTGTTCCTCCAGGATCTTTGTTTTGTTTTAATTTAAATTGGTTTGACATAATGAAGAGAAATAGAGGTGACATTTTGGAATTGATAATGCTAATGCTTGTTAGAGGTATCTTTGTCACTCTGAATTTCATGTCTTGACATAACATTTTTTTTCTCGACACTGATCTGTTTTCTGTGTCCCTCCTTACTTAGAACAATGCCTGGATAGTAGGCATTTGGTAAGTATTTGCGAAGCTGAATATTATTAGAGGGCCTATTTTAAAGGGAAAATATAGACTGTGGCCTGACAATACAAATGTTAATTTCAGGTAAGGTATGTGTTCTTAGAAAAGGACAGGAGAAAAACATTAACAAGTATTTTAGGTGAATTGGCCTAAGAGAGATGAATTGTGTGTAGGTTACTAGGGTTTACCTGTAGCACTAGACCTGAAGACCACTTTCTCTCTTATAAAGCATCTCAACAGCTGGGTGACATGTGCTTCTTCAGTGGTATCTGTTTGGCAGGAAAAGGACCTTCCACGTTTCCTACAGCACACGCCAAGAATGGGGCCTTCCCGGGTGGTGCAGCGGTGAAGAGTTCACCTGCCAGTGCAGCAGATGCAGGAGACATGGGTTGGTTCCCTGCGTCGAGAAGCTCCCCTGGAGAAGGAAATGGCAACCCACTCCAGTGTTCTTGCCTGGAGAATCCCATGGACAGAGGAACCTGGTGGGCTACAGCCCATGGGATCACAAAAGAATTGGACACAACTAAGTGACTAAGCACACACACAAATAAACCCAGGATAGACCTTGGAAACTGATCTCATTCAGAATACCTAAGGACAACCTCATTACAGAATTTCACGATATGCCCATGTCTCGTCTTTGTCATCACTTTTCTTCAGCGTTTCTCTTTCTTTACTTTCACTAGTTAAAAAACAAACAAACTCTCAAATCATGAGATCTATTTCTTTCTGAGAATTTGATTTCTTTAAAATTCTTCCTAACACAAATGTTGAGTATGATGCTTGCCTGGCACTTATAAAGCATTAAATACACATTTGTTTTCTAAAATGGATGTCTTTATCCTTCTCTCCTTCACCTCCTTTCTTTAAGAAATTTCTTACCTGCCTCGGTTACCTCCCTGCCCAAGGTCACAAACCTAAGCCTTGTTTTTACTAAGAAGAAAGCAGAGTACCAGGAATTCATTACAGCCATTTGTCACCAGGAAGCTGCAGAGAGAAGGCGTGACTAATGGTTTCTGCAAACATGAAAGATCACCAAAGATGGAAACTTAGCTTCGTTTTCCCAAGAGGATTCGTGTTTATTGTTAAACAAATCACATAGGCACATACTTGTTTCTGTGCTGAGATGGGCTTAAATGATGGTTCATGGAAATCTCTACTCTTAAAACACTTTGAAAAAGAATCCTGGAGCTTGCAGGTTGAAACGTATTCATTTACTTTTGTTTTCCCACAGAATTTTGTGCGTCACCATTGGGTGCACCGGCGTCGGCAGGAAGGAAAGTGTAAGCAGTGTGGGAAGGTAAGGCATTGCCCTGCACGTTCGTGAATTGCAGGAGGGTGCTCAGGCCTTGGCAGGCACCTGAGGTAGATGAGTCCCATCACCTGAATCCAGGGCTCAGTATGTCACTTCCCTTCCAAAGGCCTCCTTCCTTTAGGCCTCCTTCCCTTAAGATGGGCTTCCCTGCTGGCTCAGATAGTAGAGTGTCTGTCTGCAATGCAGGAGACCCGGGTTCAATCCCTGGGGTAGGAGGTCTCCTGGAGAAGGAAATGACAACCCACTCCAGTACCCTTGTCTGGAAAATCTCATGGGCAGAGGAGCGTGGTAGGCTGCAGTCCATGGGGTCCCAAAGAGTTGAACACAACTGAGTGATTTCATTTTTTTTTCCCCCTTCAGAGGTGTTCTTTTTGTTCTAGAACTCCCTCAAGAGGCAGTGGTCTTCATAGCAGGGATTGGCATGCTCTGAGTGCTAATCCCTGGTATGAAGGGATTTTTATTTCATTGTTGACGATTAAGAAAAGGAGACTTCCTCTCTTGTTTAAACTCCCTCCTGAGGATTGCGGGTACATCACACACTTCTTCAAACAACAACAGAAAATCAGCAGGTGGATGAGCGGCGCGGCTTGTGTTGATATGTTGTGGTTGAGCAGAAACGGGTAGATGGACAACATGGAAGCGAGAAGTGTGTTGCTCTCCTGGGATATTACCCGCTTCCTAGAAAGAGATGCCCTTCTCATATGTGGTCATTTATGTCTTCTCCTTGAGTGTCATGGGCTGTAAGCCCCTCAGGGTGGAGGGCCACGTGTAAGAGTGAGGCAGGGCTCTGGAAAGCTGCATGCTCTGTAGACTGCCCGATATTGACCCTAACAGATTTGGGTTATGGCTTTGTTCAGTGTACAAAGATCTACTTTAGGAATGGAAGGATGCTCTGAGATGGTTCATCCGGTGGTAAATCCTACTACTAAGATATTTTTTAAAATTACATCAATATAAGCTGGTCTTTTGATATTTCCAATTTTCCTGGAGAGATCTCTAGTCTTTCCCCTTCTGTCATTTTCTTCCAATTTTATGCACTGTTCATTGAAGAAGGCCTTTTTGTCTCTCCTTGCTATTCTTTGGGACTCTGCGTTTAGTTGGATATACCTTTCCCTTTCTCCCTTGCATTTCACTTCTCTTCTTTCTTTAGCTGTTTGTGAAATCTCCTCAGATGACCACTTTGCCCTTTTGCTTTTCTTTTTCTTTGGGATGGTTTTATCCACTGCCTTCCGTACAATATTGCAGACCTCTGTCCATAGTTCTTCAGGCACACTGTTTACTAGCTCTAATTCCTCAAATCTATTCATTACCTCTACTGCATTTTCATAGGGGATTTGATTTAAGTTGTACCTGGCTGTCCTAATGGTTTTCCCCCTTTTCTTTAGTTTAAGCCTGAATTTTGCTATGAAAAGCTGGTGATCAGAGCCACAGTCAGCTCCAGGTCTTGTTTTTGCCAACTGTTACAGTTTCTCCATCTTCAGCTACAAGGAATGTGATAAGTTTGATTTCGGTTTTGACCATTTGGTGATGTCCATGTGTAAAGTTGTCACTTGACTTGTTGAAAAAGGGTGTTAGCTATGACCAGTGCATTCTCTTGGCAGAATTCAGTTAGCCTTTGCCCTGCTTCATTTTGTTTTGAAGATTTCACACAAAGATAAGCACAATAAAGGACAGAAATGGTAGAGACCTAGTAGATGCCGAAGGGATCAAGAGGAGATGGTAAGAATACACTGAAGAATTGTACAAAAAAGATCTTAATGAATTGGATTACTACAACTGAGTGGTCAAAGTCACTCAAAGAAAGACATTCTGGAGTGTGAAGTCAAGTGGGCCTTAGGAAGCACTACTGTTAATAAATTTAGTGCATACAATGAAATTCCAGTAGAACTGTTCAAAACCCTAAAGGAGTATGCCATCAAGGTGTTGCATTCAATATGTCAGGAAATCTGGAAGACCCAGCAGGGGCCACGGGACTGGAAAAGGTCAATCCTCATCCAAATTCCCAAGAAGGGTAGTACTAAAGAATGTGCTAACCACTGGACAGTTGCACTCATTTCCCATGCTAATAGTTGTTCAATTCATTCATTCAGCTGTGTCTGACTCTTTGCAACCCCATGGCCTGCAGCATGCCAGGCCTCCCTGTCCATCACCAACTCCTGGAGCTTGCTCAAACTCATGTCCATTGAGTCGGTGATGCCATCCAACCATCTCATCCTCTGTCATCCCCTTCTCCTTCTGCCCTCAATCTTTCCCAATATCAGGGTCTTTTCCAGTGAGTCAGTCTTTCACATCAGGTGGCCAAAGTATTGGAGTTTCAGCTTCAGCATCAGTCCTTCCAATGAATATTCAGGACTGATTTCTTTTAGGGTTGACTGACTGGATCTCATTGCAGTCCAAGGGACTCTCAAGAGTTTTCTCCAACACCACAGTTCAAAAGCATCAATTCTT